GATACAGAATTTTTACAACCCATTTTCTTGTTACTTTAATCTGGAATTTTATTATATGTTTGTATTTATGTATTATGCATATGTCAGCTCAAAAGGTAGGCCAGATCATGAAGATGACTCCATAGTAAGACTGGAACTCTACTTCATTGAGATAGGCTACAGTACGAGTGTCTTGCAAGTTAGCTTCTGTTTTACCTATCCTTGGTTTGACTCGGGGAAGAACCAGTTTGAGCCTTTTCCTAATATTATCTTCTTTCTGGGGCTTTAAGGAATGCCATTGTTTCTGTAACTGGCTTCTGAGTATTCCCTTCAAAGCCATCTCCATGGCTCTCTATCTCTATCCATCTTCTTCCATCTCACTCTCTTGGATTGCAATTCACTGCTGAAGGTTGAAGAGCATCACATTATCAGAGGACCATTTTAACGTACTTGTTCAGGCTTGTTTCTGCTACTGCTAAATTTTATTAAAATGAAAATATGACTGAAGCTTTACTGACAACCTTCAGAATGTAAATTTCAACAAGAATCATAACTATGCATGAACAAGGGTTTACAACAGTTTCTACAAGAGTTGGGAAATCTTGTACAGCAAGAGAATATAACATAAAGCCTGCAAATATCTCTTTTATGGCTCACCTATAGTAACGTTTTCTAGATTTAGGACATACCCCTATTATAGAACTAATTTCAGTTGGACTTAATAGTTATTTGATACTATGACAATACTATAATTTACATTTTTCTTTTCCATGCGTACATGTTTATATAAAGTTTCTACAAAATGATCTCACATAATTATAACATCTAGAGTATAATTCTTAAATATGAGCTGCAGAAGCTGATAATATTTGAAAACTGCTACTGTACCAGTCATAATTGATCCTCCATTGAATATGTTCTTTATACAGCCCTTCTTTGTGAAAGTACAAAGCACAATAGAAATGCATCATCATGGTATTGCCAAAAAGTACAATCTGTCTCTCACAAAGTGTTGGGAATGGTTCTAAGAACACTTCCAAAAATTCCCTCTAAATTGCTATTTTTAATGTGAGATATATGGAAAATGATTAGAATCTTGTGAAATGACCATATGAAATGTGTTGAAACTAATTTTAATTAAATGTGAATTAAATCAAATTTAATCTCTTTCTTGGCCAAGATCATTATTTGGGGTGTGCCTCCCCCAACACCTTCAAGTACAGGTTTGCATGAAGTTTGAAAATGCTGCACACTCAAAGTAAAACTGCTAAAAAACCTTTAGTATGTAAAACTAATAGAAAATCAACAATTACCGTACAATACAATATGTGTCCAGCATGGCTGTGCATGTTTTTGGTATGCTGTAGAAATACTTATTTGAACCTCATATAAACAAAGCATCTTCCTATTTTAAAACCAATTAAGCTGAAAAAAGGCAAAGCTATTTTATGAGTTATTTTAATAAGTTGTCTCCTTAAAGCAGCTGCATCTTTAACCAGATATATGCCAAAAACAATGTGTGTTTAGTAAATATTAAAGAGATGAGGTACTCTTTCAAGGTCCAAAGGCATTCTTCCAAATCATTACTGAAGTAATGCAAAATTAGCTTATTCCAACACACACAGAAGATAAAAAGTTAGAGACTCTCCAAACCAAATGTTGTTTCTCAAAAAGCCTCCAGGCAGTTTTTCTAAGCTTTCCAGCTTCTGTCTGGCACAGTCAAGGTCTTCCAAAAAAATATATTGCTTATCTACCCAGGCCTGGACGTTATGTATATTCTGTCTCAATATTCCAACATTCAGCACAAACAGCCCTCTGTTCCTACATGATAAATCCCAGGCAGCCCCAGTGTGTACCACATATAAATTCAGGATAACGCAGACTGCAAGGATGCCTCTCCACCCCCCCCCCCCTTGTTCTTCTCTGCCTCCTCCAATTTTTAGTTGGGATACTTCTCTTTCACTATTTCATATATAAATTATTTGTGTTTTATAATCTCTGCTCCTAATTAAAAGACAAATTATGGACTTTGTGCTCTCTCTGTCTCTCTCTCTCTTTGTCTCTCTGTCTCTCTCTCTCTCTGTGTGTGTGTGTGTGTGTGGAGAGAGAGAGAGAGAGAGAGAGAGAGAGAGAGAGAGAGAGAGAGAGAGAGAGAGAGAGAGAGAGAATCTGAACCAATTTCAGTTGGTATTATTTAAAGTGCAGTTACATTTTGTCCTTCTTAGCAGTGAGACATTCCACATTTCATTATCTATGGAACAGGGAGGAGGATTACAGCACCTTCACAATATTTGCTTTGTTTACAATTATGCAAGCTATATTTGGAGGCGAAGAGCTACCTATCTCCTATGGTTCTTCTTCCTTCGGAACAAAACCCCACAACTATAACAGATGGTACTCTGAATTTTTTGATCACAGTTCCCAACATTGTTCTTAATTTAGAAACAGCTGCTTGGGAGATACTAGGGCTGGCACTCTACTTTGATCAGAGCAACGGTACCCTGGGATAGATGTATATGTGTGAGTTTTTCTGAAATCCTCCAAACTTCTACTAGACCTTCTGAGGGAAAATTCAGACTTCTATATTGTTTCTTTTTTCTCTTCGCAAGGTTAATAGCCTTATCCAAGGAGCATCATTCTGATACCTGTGGAAGATTCAGTTTCCTCAGTATACAAATTCTTGCTTTTAAGAGCCCAAGGTCCTCTAAATATAATTAGTGCAGATGCTATAAAACGATATTTTTTAAAAAGGGGTTTGCTTCACAATATCAGCTAATGCCAAATGCAAATTATCTTCCTTTTCCTTTAGCAACATGTCTTTTTAATGGCATTCATCTATCACAGTACTGACTCCCCTTCCCCTCAAACACACAATAAATGCCTATTGGTGGGTGGTGTAGGACATTTACAATCACTGACTGGATGTATAACACTCTGAACTCAGCCACTGTGGTCAATTCAAAAAAATCATGACCAATCATCATACTCTAGTTCAGGGGTAGGCAACCTTGGCTCTTTTATGACTTGTGGACTTCAACTCCCAGAATTCCTGAGCCAGCATGGCTCAGTTTGGAAACCTCTCCCTTTCCCCTCAGCATGGCTGGCTCAGGAATTCTGGGAGTTGAAGTCCACGAGTCATAAAAGAGCTAAAGTTGCCTACTCCTGCTCTAGTTGAATCAAGTTGCTCAGTCAATTTTTTGATAATATCCTTTTTAGATAAAGTTGTTAACAAAATACAGATTCTAATATCAGCACTAAAATAGCTATGCTGGAGGAAATGAGCTGTGCTGACTCGCAGGATTTGGGAGGAATAATGTGCACAGACAGTCATAAATGAGAAATGAGGAGGAACAGTGGAGTCAAATCTCCGTTCTGCCACAAGTATTGCACCAGATGGGATTGTGATGTGCATAAATGTGTGTATATATACTGCTCACAAAAATAAAGGGAACATTTTACCATGGAACTGAAGGGGTTTGCGTTCCTTTTATTTTTGTGAGCAGTATATAATTCTGGGCTAGCAATAATGCTGACGTTCTTTTAAAAATATCCTTTTTGTTAAAGATTTTGCTGAATTAAAATATCAAAGAACAAGACCAAGCTGCCTATCTCTTTATTTATCTCTTTAGGAGTTTTCTCACTTCTGCCATCCAAATCCCTCCATCAAAATAATTAAACAGGTCTCAGTATAGGTGAGAGAAGAGAAAAAACAGTGAATAAATCCCGCAACCTGGTCCAGATGCAACTGAGCTATGTTTTGTCTGAGTGACAACTTCCTCAGAAATATAAAAGAGATAATGCCATATCAGACCAAGAGCTTTTCTTTAACCAGTTCAACCCTTGTGACATTATGGAAATATCCATTAATTTTCTTCTGGCAATTCAGTAATGTCTTTCATTATTTCTTTGGGGTGTTTTTTTTAATGTCCCAATCTAATATACAGCCCTGGAAGTTTTCAGGGTATCTCTTATGAAGATGATCAAATCTAACCTTGCATATATTTTCAACGTGGGCCAAGCTTATCTAGGGAGAGGCAGGTTAGATTAAAAAAAGAGAATAAAATTAAATGAGTTTTTATTTTATTATTGCAATAAGCTAAGAATGTAGGCTATGTGCAGAAAGAGTTAACTAGCCTACAATCACCCAGTGTCGAGATTCATACAATATATTAATGTCTAAACTAAAACAAGGTTGGGCATTTGGTATTTGTGGGTCAGTTTGTTATGGAAATCCAGTCATTGTCCTAATAGGTTGTCTGAATCAAATTACTGTGTTTAGCAATACAGTATATTTTTATTATTATTATTTAGGTTTGGGCATAATTTAATTATAGGAATCCTGCAATTGTGTTTTTTATCAGGTTTAATGTGTTGTGTGTGAATCCCTTGACCAACTTTCAGACTTCAATAAGGAGAGAGAAGCAGATCAGTTTATCTGCTACACATTCTAAGTACAACATATATTTAAATAATTAATAAATTCATCCAAGACTTCCCTCTTTGTAGAAGTTACCAGCATAAATAATACAGGTCTGTCATTTGTTCTGGCATAGATTGAAATAAGATCTCCATCTACTGTTCAGTTTTAGGAACTACAGTAATAGTGAAGCCTTGCTTTGTGCCTTCCCCAACCTGATGGTTTCTGTTACATGCTTGGTTTAAACACTCTTAATGTCATAGCCAGCATGGCTACTGCTTAGGCTAGCTGGAAATGATAGTTGTTATCCAACACATACAAATGTACAAAACTGTGCAAAGCTATTCCCTGTGTAGGCCACTTGCAGATTCCTAGTAGAAATAATTCATGAAATTGACATGTATTATCTTTTTATGTGAAATGTGGTAGAAAGGTTTTTATCCTTTGAAAGACAAACCAAAAATACTTGAAATAAAAAAGTGGAGGTAAGAACCTTCGGCTTTTTGCACCACCCTGGTAGACTAAGGAAGGGTATTCAAGTTTACTAAAGACTTGCGAAATGGCTACATGAAAAAATCCTTTGATGACTTACTTCATTTTGTCGCCTTGTGCCTACAGAGTTTTTTGATGATTATTCCGAAGGTCGGGAATGTGTCAACTGTGGTGCTATGTCCACCCCACTGTGGCGAAGAGATGGCACCGGCCACTATCTTTGTAATGCATGTGGACTCTACCACAAGATGAATGGCATTAACCGGCCACTGATCAAGCCCCAGAGGAGGCTGGTAAGGAATGTGATGTACACCCTCACAGGCTGTGAGAATCTCCTTTGTGATTCAGTCCCACCTGTCCACTATTAATCTTGACCTGTAAAAAGCAAATTAGACAGAATTGCAACATTTATAAGGTTGTATATTATAGTTTTGATATGGCTCTGAAGCTTCTCCTCCGACACAAGAAATTTGTCTCAATTGCATAAGCTCTCAGTGTACATAGAAACAACAAAATGATAAATCATAAATAATAAGATACAATAATAAATTATAAGATACCATAGGAGAAGGTAATAGGAAAGATGAGAAGGATAATAGCAATACAGCCCCACTACATGGGTAAATACCCTTAGGTATAAGACAAATCTTAAGTGATTTAAATAGGCACCATTAATTTTTATTCCATCTTTTGCCCAGTTTAGTTTGTAAATTACTTCTTCAAGGCAGGCTGAGAAAAGGATAGGTGATATTGTATCGCCTTGTTGTACACCTTGTTCTATGTTGATTTCCACTTAAAGATCATTAAGGCAAACTGTCACCATTATTTTTTCATATATTGATTGTAGTAAGTTTATGTAAGCAGTGTCTACACGGTTGGTTGAGCAATGCATTAATTATTGCTTGCTGGAATACTGAGTCAAACGCCTTTTTGTAGTCAGTGCTGTGGGAATTAAGTATTTAGCAAAGTGATAGCATGGGGAAAAATGTTTCTGTGTCTAGTTGTTTTGGTGTATTTTATAGCAAGTAATGATAATTAGTAAAAAAAAAGATTGATAGATAAGACCACTAGTGAATTAATCAGTTATTCTTGCTTTGAACTCTTGTTCTCACACAGTCAGCCTCCCGTCGGATTGGACTGTCATGTGCAAACTGCCATACTTCTACAACCACACTGTGGCGCCGGAACGCCGAAGGAGAGCCAGTCTGCAATGCTTGTGGTTTATACATGAAGCTCCATGGGGTGAGAGGCGAAAACAAAGCATAACCTATCTATGGCAGCTTTCCCCAGTTTGAAAATCACACTGGATGGGAATTCTGAGAATACAAAAAACATCTGGAGGGCACCAGTTTGGGAAGACTGCTTTGTAAGAAATAGATCAAGCAGGTGGCATCAGGCTATTTCTCCCTGTGTATGGCTTCCTTTAATAAAGAGTGCAGAGAAACTGCCCCTTCTGGGCATTACTTTGAAGCCAAAGATGGGAGGGCAGAAGAGGAAAATGGTGAAAAAAATCCAATTGGGGGTTTATAGGTGTTGCACTCATAAATCTGGAGGGTGTTTTTGGGGAAGGCTGAATTTGGTCTTCAGTGGAGATGTGCGCAAAGCAGTCCTTCTAGGACTCTTCATTCAGACAGAGTATTTTGATTTGGTTGTTGAATACTCTGAAAGTTCTCATTTTCCAAAAGAACAACAAGAATGTTAAGTTCTGCTATAGGAAACAATAGAAACTGAAAACAGCTTTTGCCATCATCATCATCATCATCATCACCATCATCATCATCATTTTAGCCACTGTCTATCCACGGCAAGATGAAGGCCTCTTCCACATATTTCCAACAAACATGGTCTCGAGCTTTCATTTGCCAATTGGGCCTGCTGTACTTGCTGATGTCGTTGAACCATCTTGTTTTAGATCTCTTTCATGGATGCTTTTTATCAAGTGGGATCCAATCTATGATGGCCTTGGTCCTCCTGCCATCAGTTTTTCTTGCTATGTGACCAGCCCATTTCCATTTTAGTTCTTTTACTCTCTTGATATTATATACTTTCGTTTGTTCTCTAATCCATGTGTGGGTCTTTCTATCTTGTCTTCTAATGCTGAGCATGTATCTTTCCATTGCTCTTTACGCCACACATAGCTTTTGTATCGATTGTGAGTTAGTGTCCATGTTTCACTGGCATATGTTAGAGCAGCTACTGTATTTCCCCGAAAATAAGGCCTACTTCTAAAATAAGTCCTAGCTTGATTTTTGAGGCTGGGCCTAACATAAGCCCTATCCCCAAAATAAGCCCTAGAATTGTGGGGGGCTGAATGTGGGCAGCTTGACATCGCTTGCATGGAACGTGAGGGAGCCTGGGCGGGGCTGAGAGGGAGGGACAGGAACTACGGAGTTTTGCATGGTACAAATGAGGTAGATCCCTGAATTAGACCCTTTCTAGTCAAGGGACAGTGTAAAAACTGAAACCACATTCACTGGTCACCTCGGACCAAATGGCTTTGGTGCGGTAACAGTATCTTCTACCTCGTTTTATACAATGCAAAATTCCGTAGTTTCTGTGCTCGGCCCCACCTTCCATCCTGGTCCTCCAGCGAGCCTGCTATCTGCCACCCCACCCGCAATGGCCCCGGCTCCCCCCCGCACCTCTGCCTCCACCTGCAAAATAAGACACCGCAAAAATAAGCCCTAATCGGTCTTTTGGACCAAAAATAAATATAAGACCCAGGCTTATTTTCGGGGGAACAAGGTAGCACACACTGATTGAAAACTTTTCACTTCAGGCATAGGGGGGGGGGTGTTCCTGAAAATTACACTTAGCTTGCTGAATGCCTGCCAACCACATTTAACAAGCTGTTCAATTTCCTTTATTGTATCACTTTCCATTGAGATCCATTGGCCAAGGTATATGTAGTGGTCTAGTTATTCTCCAGATATATATTTTTTTCTTTCTTTGGTGAATTTATTAAACATAACCTGGTTCTTTTTCAGGTTTATTTTTAAGCCAAATTATTCTCCTACTTTGTGCAGTTCTTGTATGTATCTTTATAGCTCTTCCAGGTCTTGTGAGAAGAGAACATCATCTGCAAATCTTAAGTGATTTAAATAGGCACCATTTTATTTTTATTCCATCTTTTGCCCAGTCTAGTTTGTGAAATACTTTTTCAAGACAGGCTGAGAAAATGATAGGTGATATCGTATCACCTTGTTGTACACCTTGTTCTATGTTGATTTCCACTTAAAGATCATTAAGGCAAACTGTCACCATTGCTTTTTCCATATATTGATTGAAGTAAGTTTATGTAAACAGTGTCTATTCTATGCCTTGTTTGAGCAATGCATTAATTATTGCTTGCTGGAATACTGAGTCAAATGCCTTTTCATAGTCAATGAAAGTCATGCACAGAGGCATGGTGTAATCATTGTGCCTTTCAATAACTTGCTGAACAACGTGGATGTGATCTGTTATGCTGTAGCCACTTCTAAACCTGCCTGCTCTGCCTGCTCTTTTAAAGGCTGTGCATCATTTAATGTTCTGAATTTTTTATTTTTATTTTGCTATTATCTTGGTGAAAACCTTTTGGATAACTGAAATTGGCGATAGTTCTTTAAATCATCTTGGGCCTCTTTCTTGCGTATAAGAATCATTTCAGTATTTTCCCATGCAACAGGTATTTTTTTCTTCTCTGAGGTATCTTGATTATAGTTTTGCTAGTATCTTATGTAAACTGTGACTGCTAGCTTTCAGCATTTCAACCATAACACAGTCATTTCCTGAAGCTTTGCCATTTTTCATTGATTTTATGGCACTTGATACTTCCTCTGCTAGGATATCTGGCATTTCTTCTTTCATGGGTATTGTTACTTTTAAGTGATCTTGATCTTTGTATAGCTCTGAATAGAATTTTCCAATTATTTGTAACATTTTCTGTCTTGTTCTATGTACAGAACCACCTTCATGTTTTAATGCAAAAACCTTCTTTCTTGTATTTATAACCTTGCATTTTGCTCTATTAAGCCCTTTGTTTTCTTCAATTGCCTTTTTCACAAGCTTCACGTTAAACTGACATGTTTCTTCTTGGGTACATTATCTTATGGTCTTGCAAAGTTCAACATACTCCAGTTTATTAGTGAAACTTTCTGTATTCTTCATTGTCTTATCATTTTTTTCATTAAATCAATAGTTTCATCAGAGATTTTTGACAGTACCAAGTGTTTTTCTGGTGGTGCTCTAGATGTAGCAGATTCAAGAATGTTTTTGATTATTTGTTCATTTTGGTCCGTAATGTTCATCTCTTCCAAATCTTGCAATAGAGCAAAGCAATTTTACAGATTAATCTCAAAATCGCTGTTCTCTTCAAACAGCTAATCATCTTTATTTTTGTTTTTTGTGATGTCTATATCATTTTCATATGCTCTTTCTCACAGTCACTTCCAATGTTAAAACAATTGGTGACAGTATAATTGCAAAATATGGTTTTATCACTTGATACGATGTAGACAATTTCACTCATGTACCCAGATGGACTCTTCCATGTTATTTTCTGCTAGCTTTTTTCTTGTAAAAGGAGTTCCATGATGTAAAGTTCCTATCTTTCAGCAAAATCTACTGAACTGTCACCTCTGTTATCTTGTTCACCACTTCCATATGGATCAGTTGCTTTTTCTCCAGATATTGTTTTTCCTATTCTTGCATTAAAGTCATCCATTAGTATTTTATATTGGCATTTTTCTTTGTCTTGAAGGTGGGTCACATCGTCATAAAATTCTTCGACCTCATCATCATTATAGCTTATTGTTGGTGCATAAGCTTGGATGATTGAAAGCTTGTATTGTTTGTTCAACTGAATGATGCATTGGGCTACTCTGTCTGATATACTTTCAAATTTTACCACCACTACTACTACTACTACAGTCTTTTAGCTTTTGGTTGATGAGAAAAACCAACTCCACCACATCATCCATTTTCTGTATCTCTAGTGTAGAATAAATGCCCAGTCCTATCAAATTCAACTAAATTTTCGCCTTTTCATCGTGTTTCACATAATCCAATAATACCTCAATGCATATTGTTGAGTTCAATCAGCAGTTCTTCTAGTCAAGTGTCCATTTTTATTGTTCAAATGTTGACCGTTCCTATTTCCAAAGTCCAAAGGTAACCTGATTTAACCCAGTGGTTTTTTTTAGCACCCTCTGCCTTTGGGCAGGTTTTCCTGCTGTCATGGGCAATTGCCCTAGGGCCTCCGGGGAATGAGGGCCATTTTTGAGGTTGTATTTGCATGTGGAAGGAATGGAACATAATCTGCCATGCTGGTCCAATATGGGCTGGCAGATGTGAAATCACCTTTTGCATGCTGAAAAAATAGATGAAGTAAATTATGCTAACCACTATTTTCCAACCTGCAAAACAATTTCCAAAAGAAATACTTCTTAAAAAATGTTTTAAATTTGTATTTGAATCAGTAAAGGTGGACTATAAGTTTTTGGCAGCACAATGGCCTCAGTGAGCCCATTAAAAATTAAAAGCTATAGCAAACAGCCCATGAACAACAATAATCAAAAATATACTTCTATTTTTAGCCTGAAAGAGGCTTCTTTATAATACATTGAGTACATTGCATACCTCACATTATGAATCTGACTTGCCTGTTACAACAGTGTTTCTCAACCTTGACAATTTTAAGGCATGTGGACTTCAACTCCCAGAATTCCACAGCCAGCATTGAGAAACACTGTGTTACAAGGTAATAAAAATACAGTTTGCCAATTTGTTGTCTTTTTGAAAACTGTCTTCAAGAAAATCTTTTGAATTTGAATTTTGAATTTGAATTTTTGAATTTGAATTTGAATTTGAATTTTATTATATTTATACCCCGCCCTTCTCCCGGAGGACTCAGGGCGGCTTACAGCCAGTTTAAAAACAACTAATACAATACAATACAAAATTTAAGAAAATGATTAAAAATAAATATTTAAATAGGCCGCTTCTACTAAAATTTAGTTAAAACCAATTTAAAATACCCCTAGGCCNGGACAGCACACAAGCTTTTTGCATTTGTTGTGTCAACATGTGGAAGCACAACACAAATCACAGTTAAGAAAACAATGAGCTACTCCCAGGATTTTGTACATTCAAAAATTGCAGGTTTTTCTAGGGGATTAATGTTGATCTCTAATGCATCTTCATAGGTTCCAAGACCTTTAGCTATGAGAAAAGAAGGGATCCAAACCAGGAAGCGTAAACCAAAGAACTTGAGCAAATCCAAGACATCAGCAGGCGAGTACAATTAGAAAAAACTTTCTTAGCTAATATGATCCATTTGTAATTACAACTTAAGCTTAACGTCTGCCAAAGTTGGAAAAAGTATTATTATATACCATAGTCAAATATGAGCATTCTGTGGTCCTTCAAATAAAACACATCACTATTCATTCTTTCATTCATTCCCCTTGGGTACCACCAATTCAAAATAGACTTTGTGACAATTTAAGAGAACAATCAACAAAACTTCTATGTATAAACAAATACATATAAGTAATCCAAAGTGAAATAAAGTTGATGAGAACCAAGTATTTAATCAAGTGTTCTTTGGAATAATTCTACCTTGAATGAACCTTAGAAAGAACCTAGCCTGAATTCTAAGGTGAATTCCCCAAGAGTGCATTGCATAGGCCAATTCAGATAGGAGAAGGGGATCCTGCAGGTACCTGGGCATCAACTCATGTAATTACCTAGGAGTTTAATGTCAATACATTCTGGCATGCTACAGCAAGGTTCTTGTGTTTTTCTCTGAAAAACCTTCCTGATGAAGATCCATTTGGCCTTTTTTTATTTAACGTTCACTCTTATTACAACAGCAACAGTAGCCAATACTTTAATTTTTGGCTAAAGTCTCAGGACAGATATAGTTCAACAATTTATCTCTCTCTCTTTTTCACCTCCCACCCTAGGATCAGTCACCAATGAAAGCCTTCCCACTGCCATTAGCTCAGCCACCTGCACCAGCACAACTACCACTACTACTGCTGAAGAAATGCGCCCCATCAAGACAGAACCAGGAATCTCATCTCATTATGGACACCCAAGCCCTATTCCTCAGGTGAAGCTTTTTATTATGCAAAAGAATAGTATTCTGCCTTTCTATCAAGGAATTGAAAGTCAGACACACATGGCTTTCTCTTTATTTTAATTTCTTAACAATCCTGTACTGAATTTAACAGAACAGAATTGAGCTAAAGCTTCAGCATTCCATGGCACGCTTATTAATAAAACTCCTGCACCCACCTGCATACTTTAAGCTTGTAAAGCAAAGATTGCATAATTAGAGTCCTTTAACATTAAAGTAACTTTTCATATTCTGGATCTTTTCAGATGTAAGACATTTCTCTCTAATTGAGAAGACTGTGACCATATGATTTATATACATCCTCATGATATCCAAGAGTAATGGGTATTGGCCATTTCAAAAGCCCTCTTGTGCCTTCTTGGGGTTAAACTTGGGGCAAGAAACTCTTCAGATGTTTTATTAATTGATTTATATTCCATCTTTTATCCAGAAGCAAAAGATAGCATATATAGCAGTGGTAGTCAACCTGGTCCCTACCGCCCACTAGTGGGCGTTCCAGCTTTCATGGTGGGCGGTAGGGGTTTTGTCCGATACTGAAGCACTTTCTTTTTTTAAATTTAATTGACTTTTTAAAAAAATTTCATAGCATTATTTAAAAACATTTTCATTAGGTTTTCATAAAATTCCCTGTGACAATTTAAATTTCTGAAAATATACTATTTGTATCGCCTGCGCATAAGTTTAGTTCACGTTACGTAAGTGAAATTAAATGGTGCTATAGTATGACCGCAAACAAAAGAGCCTCGTCTCAGAATAGCTCGCGCATCTCCCCCCACACCACCCAGCTGTAACAGACAAGCAGAGCTGGTAGCCGGCGCCCCCCCCAAACCTAATCCACGATGCGCGAGAGGCATGCGCAGATGATACACGGCACAGGCTCTTTTGTTTGCGGTCGCACTGGTCAGTACGCAGTTAGATTTGTGAGAGTGAGCATGTGCCTACAGCTTCAAACAAAATATTGTGAGTCCATGTCTCAAAAAAAGAAATACGCTTGTGGCTATTTGCCAGAGTATCTGAAGATGGGTTTCATAGAATCTGTTGTAAATAAACAACATCCAATGTGTTTATTGTGTCATAAAACATTATCCAATGAGGCAATGAAGCCAGGTCGATTGCAAGAACATCTTTTTACAAAGCATCCAAATGATAAGGACAAGCCCATTGAATATTTTCAGGAAATATATAAAAAAATTCAAAATCGTTCAACAATCGTTGCATCATTTAAGAAACAACATGCAGCGAATGAAGATGGATTAATTGCCGCTTATCGCATTTCACAATTAATTGCAAAAAGTGCTAAAAGCTATAATATTGGAGAAACTGTAATAATACCCTCTATAAAAGAATTTATCTCAGCAGTAATGCATCAGGATATACCTGAAATTTTAAA